TGCAAATGAATGAAAGTGTACGTGTCAGCCTTTTATTATTTTTTTTTTTTGCCTCTCTGGCTCCCTGTAAGAGTTGGGTGGTTAAGCGTATGTGCTCGTGACCTGCTTTCGACAGTGCTTTGCTGTTCTGGTTCTGTAGCCGTGAAGGGAATTTCCACGCAGAAACCCCAACGATCCCTGCTCTAAATTAGTGGAAGTACCGGTACCCGGATTGGGAGTCCTGCAGCGCAGTGGTTAGAGTGCTCGTCTCGCAAGCGAGGTTCGATTCCTGCGCAGGGCGAAACCTCGGGCGAGTCTTAAGCCACTTGTAAAAAGTGTCCAGATGTTACTTCCGAACCCAGCGGCGTTGGCGTTCAAATACACTCTTCGTTTTCATCTGTTCTGGCCTCCGAGGCCGTTTTTTTTTTTTTTTTCTGTCTAAGTCGTGAGTTTCCCCTCATGCCTGGGTGCCGCTGAACACTGTCGCTGTGCTGTTTACTGCTGGGTAAACAGAGGTGTGCGCGCGCGTGCGTGCGTGTGGAGTAAGAAAACTTGCCTAAGATTTTGCCCAGCCCAGCCGGCCGGGGATCGAACCCAGGTCCTCTCGCTCGCAGGGCAAGTGCTCTAACCACTAAGTTACAGGACTCCACAAATGAGCAACAGGAGTAGCTTTTACGTACGGAGTCCGTTTAAAGCGTTTAACTGTGTGTGGTGCGGTGGTTGCTTGTGGGTGTTTTAGGCACGTCCTGGTGAGTTGATCTGTAGACGAGGGACGGACCGTACTGAGTACCAATGAGTCAGACGCTCAGTCTGTCTGCCTTTTAAAATTGATAAAATGAGTAATCGTCGACGAGAGCGGTAACCAGGGTCTCCGTGTGGTTTAACTGACACCGGAGCCTACTTGCGTCGTTTTAAAATAAAACGCTTTGGCCTTGCTGTCAGTCACCTTTGCCGTCTAACCCGTGAAGCGCTTTGAGGCATCTCGATGAACGTCGATGGGGCAGTGTGTCAAAGGCGAGAATTATTATTATTATTATTATTATTATCTTTCCTTCCCATCCACTTGGCTTCCACCGAAGCTCAATGTCAAACCTACCAGAGTAACAGTGATAATCCTGGCATCTGATACAGCACTCTATCACGTCGTTGTGGCGTCTCAAAGCGCTCCGCAGGATATACCGTAGAGTGTAGTGACTGTGTGTTTTGTGGGCAAAACGCGGCTACTAATTGCGCACAGTTGTGGATTGAGTGACCGAATTATTATTATTTTGAAGGGATTATTACCCCCCCCCCCCGGTAAACGATCTGCCGATCGACTAACAAGCGGGTTGCTGCTGACTGCTAGTAAACAGAGCTGTGTGGTGTAAGGAAACTCGCTCTGACCCGCCCGGCCGGGAATCAAACGCACGTCCTCTCGCTTGCGGAGTGAGCTCTCTAACCACTGATCTGAACGAGCAGGATATTGGTTGCTAAAGCAGTTGAGTTTCAGCCCCCGGAAATCCAGCTCGAGCTGAACTTGCTTATCAGAGACGCACCTGGAGTCCATCCCACGTACAGCAAGTTCTGTGTCACTGTGACACAAGCCCGGGCCTCGCAGGCAGAGAAACCAGACTGAGCCGCGGTGTTACACACAGGAGGAACGACTGGGGAAGCTCAGAGCTCCAGCATTGGTGGGAAAAACTCCGGAGGGGGCTTGGAAACACAGGAACAGGAGAAGGCCATTCAGCCCCTCGAGCCTGTGCCTCCATTCTGTACGATCGTGGCTGATCTGTACCTCGAGTCCAATCACTCACCCTTGCCCTGATTCCCTTAATACCCTGACCTGACAAATAGCCGTCCGCCTCAGTCTTGAAGATGTAAATGGATCCAGTCATAGTCAACAGCCTTCTGGGGGGGAGAGCGAGAGAGAGAGAGAGAGAGAGTTGCAGATTTCCACTCGCCTTTGGGTGACAAACTGCCTCCTGATTTCGCTCCCGAACGGCCGAGCTCTAATGTTAAGATGATGCCCTCTGGTTCTGGATTTCCCCACCCACCGGAGGAAACGGTTTCTCTGCGTCTCCCCGATCGAATCCCTTTATTATTCTGAAGGTTACGTATCTACGAATGTTTGGCCGGGCTGGAGAGAGAGTAAACCGGGAACCTGCTTGTGAGCCGATTGGCAGATCGCTTTCCGGGGGTAATAATACCGTCAAAATAAATAATGTGGTCACTCAATCTATGACTGTTTGTGGGACACGGCCATAATAATAATAATAATAATAATCCTTGCATTTGATACAGCGCTTTTCACGTCGGGAGGACGTCCCAAAGCGCTTCGCAGAACACACTGCAAAGTGAAGTGACTGTATGTTTGTGGGTGAACGCGGCGGCCGATTACGCACAGCGATGTCCCACAAACAGTCGTGGATTGAAAATGACCAATTTATTATTGTTTTGGGTTTTTTGGAGGGGTTATTATTAGGGCTCTGTGTGGAGTAAGGAAACTTGCCCGAGGTTTGGCCCTGACTGACCCCCCGGGGATTGAACTCAGGTCTCTCACTCACAAAGCGAGTGCTCTAACCCCTGAGCTACAGGACTCCACAATCAGCCATGTGCAATCAGCCGCCACGTTTCGCCCGCAAAACAACACAGTCGCTTCACTTTACGGTGTATCCCGCGAAGCACCTTTGAGACATTCCGATGACGCGACAGGGCCGGGGTATCAAATGCGAGGATTATTATTATTATTATTGTTGTCGTCGTCGAATCCTGTGAAGCCGAAATGAGAGGTGCCCCACCACACGCGATGATTGTTATCACGGCTTTTTCCTCTCAGCCTCCTGTTGCAGTGGAGCGAGGGAGGCCCGCGCTTGCTGCTCTGTGTGTCTGACGTGTGCGTACGTTTCCCGGCTTGGAATCATTCTCGTCAGTGCTGCCTGGTCGGAGCTGCTCTGCTTTGTGTGACTCATTCCATTTCCGTCACACGCAACGGCTTTCATATCCTCTTTAGGAAACTCTTTTTAAAATACGCGCACACACACACACACACACACACACACACACAGACCTTATCGCAGGCAACTTCTCTTGTCTTTATATATCTACGCGTGTCGTCTTGATGCCGTGCGCGTGCGGAGCCCCGCGCGGTAACCCCTTCAGAAAATAATGTGAACGCGGTCGCTCAGTCCACGTCTGTTTGTGGCACGTCGCTGCACGCAATTGGCTGCCGCGTTTTGCCCACAAAAGACAGTCATTACACTTTACAGTATATTCTGTGAAGCGCTTTGAGACGTTTTGAAGACGCGATAAGGCGCCGTATCGAATGCCGGGATTATTGTTGTTTTGTGAAAGGGTCGGGATGTTGGTGTTTAGACGGAGACTGAAAAAACGGCTGCTACGATTCCGTGTGTCAGTCTGGCTCAGTCGCTGTGTGTGTGTGTGTGTGTGTGTGTGTGTGTGTGGCTCAGTCGCTGTGTGTGTGTGGCTCAGTCGCTGTGTGTGTGTGTGTGGCTCAGTCGCGGTGTGTGTGTGTGTGTGGCTCAGTCGCTGTGTGTGTGTGGCTCAGTCGCGGTGTGTGTGTGGCTCAGTCGCTGTGTGTGTGTGTGTGTGTGTGTGGCTCAGTCGCTGTGTGTGTGTGTGGCTCAGTCGCTGTGTGTGTGTGTGTGTGTGTGGCTCAGTCGCTGTGTGTGTGTGTGTGTGTGTGGCTCAGTCGCTGTGTGTGTGTGTGTGTGTGTGTGGCTCAGTCGCTGTGTGTGTGTGTGTGTGGCTCAGTTGCTGTGTATGTGTGTGTGTGTGTAGGGAAGAGGGGATGAAGAGACAGGGGAGTCAGACTAAATGGCTGACTGTGTCCGAGAGTTGGCAGAGCTGTGTTGGGCCTAATGGGCTCCCGCTGCAGAGTTGGCTGATTGTATCTGTGAGTGTGAATGAAGACCTTTGTTTCGCTCCCAGTGTTATCGCGGCTATAATCAGTCAGTCCGCTTGGCACAAGCAGAGAAGGACCGAGTCCTTCCTGCTCCCTGCCTTGTCCATAGTACAGCGGGTTTAACCACTCAACCGTGTAACATGCCCTGCAGATTGTGTCGAGCTCCGAGTCCAGGCTCCTCTGGCTCCCCAACCCCACAACGCTTCCAGTTCAAGATCCTCGCCCTCGCCTTCGAATCCCTCCGCGGTCTTACCCCCGTCCCTATCGCCGCGACCTCCTCAAACCATAGCAACCTGACCACACCCTCTGGTCAGCGGGCACCGTCCTGCTTCACATCTCCCGGCCCCACCGTTGGGCTTTCAGCCTATCTGCCTCTGCTCTCTGGAACCCCACCCCACCCCAGAGTCCCTTTGACTCGCTCCCTCCCGCAACTCGTTCAAGGTGCGGGAGGGGGTGAATTAATGATAGTAATAATTCGGTCGCTCTGTCCACAACTGTTTGTGGGACACTGCCGTGCGCAATCGGCTGCCGCGTTTCGCCCACAAAACACACAATCACTACGTTTTACAGTGTATCCTGTGAAGCGCTTTGAGACGTCTCGAAGACGTGATAAGGCGCCGTATCAAATCCAAGGATTATTATTATACATGGTCCGACTCAAGACCTTGGGATGTCTTCCTAATGCGAAAGCTGCTGTGTGAATGTAAAATTATAATAATAATAATCCTCATCACAGCATCGATCCGTCTCAAAGCGCTTCACAGGATGCGCTGCAAAATGAAGTGACGGTATTTTTTGTGGGTGAAACGCAGCAGCCAATTGTGCACAACAACGTCCCACAAACAGTCATGGATTGAGTGACCAATTTATTATTATTTTTTGGAGGGCTTATTGCCCCTTTTAAGTGATCCGTCAATTGACTAACGAGCGGGTTCCTACTTATTGCGGGTAAACAGAGGCGTGTGTGTGTGTGGAGTAAGGAAACCTGTCCAAGGTTTCGCTCCACCCACCCAGCTGGGAATCAAACCCGGGTCCTGTGGCTTGCGAGGCGAGCGCTCTAACCTCTACGCATTTGAGTGCAATAAAATGTGATTTGTTTTGTTGTTGTTTTACTTGGCAGCGAAGAGAAATCAGAAGAGAATGAACAGAGCGGGCAGAAGGAGAAACTACTGAGGCTTAAAAAATACAAGAAGAAGGAGGAGCGAGATGAAGGCAAACACCGAGACACTCAGCCCGCAGCGGCAGACACTCAGCCCGCCCCGCCGGAGCCCGCCGACGGCAACAAAGCCGAGACAGCGGAGCACGAGGGAGCTATGGCCGACACACCCTCCACTCCCAAACCTCGCCGCTCGCTCATCAGGGACCGGGGGCCGCTGTACGAAGACCCCACCCTGCCCCAGGGCTGGGCACGCAAACTCAAACAGAGGAAGTCAGGCCGTTCGGCCGGCAAATATGACGTTTACATTATCAAGTAGGTGGCTTTGGGTTAGCTCCGCGTGAGGAGCGCTGTGTAACAATACTATCACTAATAATAGTAATAATAATAATAATAATCCTTGCGTTTGATGTACCGCCTTATCGCGTTGTTGAGACACTCGTTTTCAAATCCCTTCACGCCCTGGCACCTCCCTCCCTCTCTCTCCGACCTGCTTAACCCCTAACCCAACACCCGCTCGCTGCCTCCGCCACTCGGCTGGCTCCAACCTTCGGCTTGTCCCTCGTGCCCTCCCTTCCACCATCGGCAGCAACACTTTCAGCCACTGCACCCTGAAACTGTCAGTCCCTCCCTGAATCCCTCCAGCTTGCCCCCCCCCCCTTTCAGGTAACGCCTGAAGACCGTCCTCTTCAATTGTGCCTATGATCACCTCCCCCGGGGGCCCGGTGTCGTGCTCTGTGTGACTCTCTCTCTCTCTCTCTCTCTCGTAGCCCACAAGGAAAAGCGTTCCGTTCTAAAGTGGAGCTCATCGCGCACTTTGAGAAGGTGGGCGACACCACCTTGGACCCCAACGACTTTGACTTCACCGTAACCGGGCGGGGGAGCCCCTCGCGGAGAGAGAAGAAGCCCCCCAAAAAGACCAAGGCCCCCAAGTCGCCTGGCACGGGCAGGGGGAGGGGGCGTCCCAAGGGCAGCGGCAAGGACAAGGCCACTCAGAAAGGGGGCTCGAGCCGGCGACTGTCCGACAAGAGCGCGGCCAAACTGCTGGTCAAAATGCCCTTCACCGCTCCCCTGCTCCCCGGGCCGGGCGAGGTGGCAGCGTCCTCAGGACAGCAGCACCCCAAAGTCCAGCGTAAAGGGGGTCCCGGCAGGAAGAGGAAATCGGAGGCCGAGCCGAGGGCGGTGCCCAAGAAGAGGGGGAGGAAGCCGGGGGGAGGTGGGGGGAGCGGGGGCGGGGGAGGACCAGCTCCGGCCGTGAAGAAAAAGGCGGCCAAGGAGTCCTCTTCGTGTTCCTCGTCGTCGCTGGCCAAACCGGAGGAGGTGGCGGTGCTGCCGATCAAGAAGAGGAACCTGGGGGAGGAGAGCTCACCGCTGAAGAAGAGGAAAAGCACACGCATGTTCGAGGGGGATAGCAGCGGGAGCGTGCCCGCTCTGGGGGTCTCGGAGACCAAGGAGAACCCCCCCTCTCAACAGCCACCTCCGCCGCCTCCACCACCACCGCCGCCGCCGCCGCAGCAGCAGCAGCAACAACAACAACAACAGCAGCCACAGGCAGAGACAGCGACGGGAGCCGGGGCGGGAGACAAGAGCGGGAAAGGACTGAAAGGCGGGAAGAGCGTCGTGGCTCCCCCCAAGGGGAGAGAGGCCAGCCCGAAGGGAAGGGCGGCCAAGAAGGAGTCGCACCAACTGCAGCCCCAACCGCAGCCCCAACCCCAACCACAGCCCCAACCACAGCCCCAACCACAGCCCACCGTTCAGGAGGCCGAGAGCTCGAGAGACAGGAGCAGCCCCTCGGAACCCAAAGACTTGAGCACCAGAGGGTGTGCGGGGGAGGAGCGAGCGCCCCGGAGCAGGCCCGAGGCCCTCCCGCCGGGAGCCAGGGAGGCTCCAAAGACTGCCGAGGCCCCGGAGAGGGGCAAACTGCGCGGCGAGGGCGACCCGCGAGGCCTGATCTCCTCCGTGTCCAGGCCGGCCCGCGAGGAGGCGGGCGACACCAGGGCCGCCGTGTCGGAGAGGGTGAGCTGACTTTGATTCTAGGAAGAGGAGAAAAAGGAAAAGGAAAAAAAAAAGAAAGAAAGAAAGGAAGGAAGGAAGGAAAGGACGGTGGGATGGACGGGTGGACGTAACAAGGCAGCTGTTGTCTGTTGTCTCCTTGTGAGTAGGGCGCTAACTAACCTAGGCTTTTTCAGTCAGAGCAGCAAAGCCGAGCCGGGCGAAGCCAGGCCGAGCCAGACTGATATTTCCAAGCTCACGATCGCGGGGCGAAGGGTTTTTAATTTCTAATTTCTTCCTCCCGAGTGTTTTTCCTTTTTTTTTTTTCTTTTTCCCCCCCACCCCCCACCCCCCGCATCGTATCTCGTTTTTTGTCTTGTTTTTTTTTTTTCAGGGTGTCGAAAACTGTCCCGAGTCCGTCTTTTCGTGTCTTGTGCTACGCTCTGGAAATCCTACCGTGTGAGAGGGAGGGAGGGAGGGAGAGAGGGAGAGGCGGGTGCGAGGTGGGGGTGGGGGGAGAACTCCCTCTCTTACATCCTCTCCGCACCCTCTCTCTCCGCACCTCTCTCTCCACATTGCCCTTTCTCTCTCTCTCTCTCTTTCTCTCTCCCCGCACCCCTGTCTCTTTAAGTGGTAGGAATCCTGTAGCGTAGCGGTCAACACACTCGCCTCGCATTCCTGGCCAGGCAGGGCGTGGCAAAATCTTGGGCAAGTTTCCTTACTCCACACACACACACACACACACACACACACACACACACATATACACACACCTCTGTTTAACTAGCAGTAAGTAGGAACCCGCCTGTTAGTCGATTGGCGGATTGACTTTCCGGGGATAATAATCCCTTCAAAAAAAAAACAATAAAAATAATAATGTGGTCACTCAATCCGCGACTCTGTGCGTGGGACGTCGCTGGACCCAGTTGGCTGCCGGGCTGTCGCCCACAAAAACACGCAGCCACCTTCACTTTGCGGTATATTCCGTGAAGCGCTTTGAGGCCGTCTCGAAGACGTGATAAGGCGCTGTGTCAAAAGGCAAGGATTATTATTGTCGTGAGGAGTAGGAAATTAGCAGAAAAGTTGGTGTCCTGTTGAGCTGTCCTGAGCGTGCTTTGCCGGCGTTCCGATGTCTTTAGAGGCAGGAAAGGGTTTTGGTTGGTTTTTTTTTTTTATCTGTTACGTTTCCTCTTATCTTCCTCTCTCTCTCTATCGTGTATGTGTTTTGACGGGTTTGTCCCGACTCGGACACCTCCTCTTCCATTCCACATGCGTTGTCTTGTCAGGGGCTTGAGGTGTCTCTCTCTCTCTCTCTCTCTCTCTCTCTCTCTCTCTCTCTCTCTCAATCCATCAGCCCCCACCCCACAGAGGTTACATCTATGTCCAACAAGTGGTTAGTCACATGTATATGGGGAGAGGGGTGGGTGTAGTGGAACGGGAAAGGGGGTGGGTGGGAGCGGGGGTCGCGAGTGACTGAGCTGTAGATCCCATCACTGTGATCAGCCGGGTGTCTGATCTCCACTCGCACACACACGGAAACCCGTCACCGTGACCGGCCGGGTGTCTGACACACACACACGGAAACCCGTCACCGTGACCGGCCGGGTGTCTGACACACACACACGGAAACCCGTCACCGTGACCGGCCGGGTGTCTGACACACACACACGGAAACCCGTCACCGTGACCGGCCGGGTGTCTGACACACACACACGGAAACCCGTCACCGTTGCTGAAGAGTCTCCAAACCCAACTGAGAATTCCCTGCATCCATCCCACCCGCACCTGGAAATTCCCACAGATAGATTGTCGGGATGGGACACTCTCTCTCTCTCTCTCTCCCCCACCCCGGAGAGACGCACCCTGCTTAACTAAGTCCGGAGAGTATTAGGCGCAGGTTGGCAAGAGCCAAGGCTTGGGGGGAGGCCCAGAGTCTGCGTTGGGGTAACTGCTGGTACAAAAACTGCGCAGGAGAGTTTTAAGCTCATTTAGAGGGGGATATTAAATGTTAGAATTTGCTGGCGAAAGAAAACTATGGTCCATCTCGTTCGACTTCCACCATCCTGGCAGTCGCTTTGAAATGCCGTGTCCCAAACTGCACACTGTATCCCCAGATATTATTTCCTTCAAGGAAACTATCTCGTTTGTTCTTGAAACAAACAACACTTTCTGCTTCCACCGTACGTCTCCTTAGAGAGCCTGTTCCGCGCGTTTATTACTCGCTCACTGAAGTAGTGTTTCCCCGCAGATTTGTTCTGAACTTACCCCCTTCAATCACGGGCCGTGTCCTCTGGTTCAACTGTTCAGTACGAGATAAGACAGTTTATCATGTTCCACGTTGTCTTGCCTCTCCATTAAAGGTGCACATAATCTGTGGATTGGAACTGTTAACACGCTCAGAGCTTCGCAGACGTCTTTTGGAGGGTAGGGGGAGAGGGTGGGAAACAGCTTTATCTTAAAGCAGTAAAGTGGGTGGGGAGTGGGGGGGGGGTTTAGAGGGTGGCAGAGTAGAGTTCGTGTATTTCCTCCCTCTTTCCCCCTTCTGTACTCCTCTTTTATTTTGGTAAGAGGCTAATAGATTTGCTCTGCAAAAATCAATCGAAGCCATCCAGGCCTCTGTGGCTCAGTCGTTCTCTCTCTCTCTCTCTTTCTCTCTCTCTCTCTCTCTCTCTCTCTCTCTCTGTCTGTCTCTCTCTCGCCTCCGAGTCAGAAGGTTGAGGGTTTGAGGCCCCCACGTGTCAGCGTCGGGACTCGGATTGGAATCTCCCCCAGTCGAAGCTGACGGACCAGCGCAGAGCTGGTGGTGTGTTGCGTTGTCGGAGGCTTCGTCCTTCGGATGAGATGCAAAACTGAGCTCCCTGCCTGTGCGAACGTTAAAGATCTCCCACAGCGCTATTCGAAAAGAGAAGGGAGTCCCTCTCTCTCTCTCTCTCTCTCCTGGTGTCCAGGCCGACAATCCCTCGAATAAACACGCTCGCTCCGTGGCTGCGTGCGGGGATGGGGATGCCGCTGTGCGATACAGTAAAATTCCTGATAGCTCGACCCTGGCTTAACCAGTCACCGCCACTTGAGAGTCATCGCAGCGCTGCCGATATCCCGGCCACATTTATTTATGTATGTGTACACGTCGCCACTCCTGGTAGCAAGTCACTGGGCCCATTTACCCTCGGGAGAGACTCTCGAGATATCAGGAGTTCGCTGTACGAGCTGTGGAAGGGCTTTGAGACGTCTTGACGACTTGATCAACCGCCGGGTCGTGGTTGCAGGGGTTATTATTCTTGCGATTGGAGTATAGGCCAGAGGGGCGCAGTGGCTTTCTGGTTGAGGGGTGGAGACGTGTACCAAATACAAGCAGCTTCTTTTTTTTTTTTTTTTGCCTGATAGGACAGTGGATCAGCGGGGATAGTGGTTATGAACATGTTCTTCCTCCCCGCGCTCACTCTGTAGCGCTCGAACCACTGAGCTGTGGAGTCTTGGAGCGCAGTGGATAGAGCGCTCGCCTCGCAACCGAGAGGATCCGGGTTCGATTCCCGGCCAGGCAGGCGGGGCGAAACATTGGGGAGGTTTCCTTACCCCCCCCCCCCCCCCCCCCACACACACACACACACACGCACATACACACACGCACACGCACAAACACGTGCGCCTCTGTTTGCCTAGCAGCAAGCAGGAACCCGCTTGTGTCCTTGTGAAGCGCTTTTGAGACGCCTGGAAGGCGCGATAAGGCGCTGCATCAAATGCAAGGATTATTGTTATCGAGCAGTTTGCCGGGACAGACGGGTGGGGGTTTGAGGCTGACATCAAACTGGACAGAAAGACGTCTTCCTGCTGATCTCTCTGGCGATCCCGTGCCTGTCTGTGTCTGTCACTCCCCTGGCACAGCGCGCGCACAAGGAGGTCCATTGTCCCTGGATTCGCTCAGGCACAGAGGTGCTGTGTGCGTGTGTGTGCGCGCGTGCGCGCGGGCGCACAGGCATCTCTCTTCCCCCCCCCCGTCGCACTTTGTCCGCCCGTCCGTCTTCCCTCTCCACCCCGGGTTGACACGTCTCCACGCTATGTTCCAGCAGAGTTAGAAGCAGGGCTTTGAGGGTGTTCTCGTGAGCCAGTTTAACCGGCCCTCAAACCACTGGCTTCAGTTCTGGTCAGCCAGGTGTCTCCTGACACAAGTGAACCCGTCACCGTGCTTAAAATAGTTCCCCGTCTGCTACCTACCACATGGAAATTCCCTCGTCTGGAATGCAATGCTCTCTCTATCTCTCCCTCTCTCTCCCTCCCTCTCTCTCTCTTCCTCCCCCCCCCCTCTCGAGGACACAACCTGCTTAGGTAATTCTCGTGCGGACTGGCAAGAGCCAAGGCTCAGGGTGGGTGAGAGGATGTCAGACCACACAGCTCATGAGGCGTATGAGTTGTGGGGGGGGGGGGGGGTAACTGCTGGAGTCTAACCAGCGAAAACAGCACAGTTTGCCCATCGAGAGCGCTGTCTGGCAAGCCTTCCCAGCTCGGACCACGGTACCCGTTAGGGCTTCGGCTTGTAGGGTTAACGGGAGCCGATTTAGTGGAAAGAATCTGTGATCGTGGAGTTCTGTAGTGTAGTGGTTAGAGCACTCACCTCACAAGCGAAAGGACCTGGGTTTGATTCCCAGGTCGGGCAAAACCTTCAGCCAGTTTCCTTACTCCACCCACACGCCTCTGTTTGCCGAGCAGTAAGTAGGAACTTGGTAGTTAGTCGATTGGCGGATCACTTTTCCTGGGGTAATAAATCCTTTTAAAAAAAAAATTTGCTCACTCAATCCACGGCTGTTCGTGGGACGTCTCCGTGCGCAATCGGCTGCCGCGTTTCACCCACCAAATACACAGTCACTCCACCTTGCAGTGTATCCCGTGAAGCGCTTTGAGACGTCTCGAAGACATGAGAAGGCGCTGTATCAAATGCCCAGGATTGTCACTTATTATTATTATTATTATCCCCAGTGATGTGAGGTTCCTTTTCCTGTAACCCGTAGCCGCTAACACTCCTCCGCATCTTGTTCTGTAGAATATCGCTTTTCTGGTCAGGTTTGTTTTGCACGGAATATAGAGAGAAAACAATGGTTTTATATATTTTTTTTATCGAAAAAAAAACATGGAATTGTAAAACTGTTCTGCTTGTGACTTTGGACAGATGTCTGGGAATAAAACTATATATAAAAAAAGTATATATATATATATCTATAAATATATATAAATATGTTGCTTTTACAGTGTTCATGTACGATCATGTGTAGAGTAAACGTGGAGTGCTGATGTTTTTTTTAAATTATTAAGACAGGATGTTAGTGAGACT